TAATAAAAACTTATATAACCGCGTTAAAAAAAAGTTGAAGATACATCGAACAAAATTTCAATGAATGAATGTGGGTCCCACAAGACCTCTATTTTGACACACCTGGATAAGGATGAAGAGGTGGGGCCCAGTAAGATAGTATCTTCACTCTCAGTAACCAGTAGATGACGGCCGTTATACACGTGTTACTATAATTACAATAAATAGTCCCTGTAAAATATGTCAACCTTCACGTTTATTACTTTAATTTGAAACTCTTACAAATGTCATCCAATTTTCGATTATCTCAAAGTGGCATAAAATATAAGATGTTAACCTTTAATGGTTAAAAATAGGGCAAACAATAATTGATCGTCCATCAAAAGCCAACCTGAGCTGACGTGATGTTTTATTGGTTTATAAAATGTACAAATCGATAAGAGTGAGATTAGGGCCAGATTTATGTCGTATCTAACCAATCAGTGAAACCCGATAAGGCTACCAGCCAATCAAAAATTCTATTAATCCCTAATTTGAAATATGTTTCTACGTATTCCAAACCCKCAACCTCGAGTGCACAAGTTTGATGTGATGTAAACCTTATGGAGCAAACGGTTTCTAGGCTTCACCTATATTCACAGTGAATTTCACTTTCARGACAATGGTTTCTCAATAACTGGTACAACGTCATTTAAAAGATACATTTTCTTTTCTGCCTTAATCTCATGGGAATATYGTTTTCCATGCATAAGACGTATATCTTATTATTGATTCTTGATAATTTCTTGTACGAGTCTTTACGATTCTTTTTTTTTTCTGCACTTATCCCGATATTAGTTTTTAATGCATATGACAATATATATGTAAACAAAAGCACTAACAAAAAAATGTATATGACCAAGCTAACAAGTAATAGTGACGATGTTAAATTGGACATTTTCTTGGAATCGGGTTCCATGTGGATCCGATTAATGTTGTTAGTAATCAAATTTTTGCCTAGATTGGATAGTTTTTATAACAAGAAACATTATGATTTAAACTAAGATGAGAAAAGTGTAAACTGAGGCATAGTTGAGGGACCATTTTGTAATATACTATAAATCAAAAGTTGTCTCGTTTTTGTTGTTGGTGTGTCGCCATCATTGGTGGTGATGTTGTTTGAGGAGCAAATGAGGAAGAGAGACACTGATTTAGTGGAGGTTAATGTAGGATTTAGTTTTTTTTTATCTAAAGATACCACGTCACAATCTCCTATGAGTCGTCGGCTCATTTTTCAATAGACATGCAGTCAGAGCCCGAGGCTCCTTCCACTACTTTAGAGCTTACAGTTTCATGTTCTATTTCACTCCCCCATTGGGGTTCTTTTTACCATTCCCTCGCGGTAATACTTCGCTATCGGTCACCCAGGAGCATTTAGCTTTGCAAGAAGGTCCTTGTTGAATCACACGAGATTCCACGTGTCTCGTGCTACTCGGATCAGAGCATAAGCTAGTGATGTTTTTGGCTATTAGGCTTTCGCCATCTAGGTACTTGTAAAAAAAAATTAATTAATAAAATAACAATTTTACTCGAGTAAAATTGACCCCCTATCGACTTGGTTTTTGACTCGATTTGAAACCAAACACGTAAATCCTAATCGAACATTTTTTTTAAGTAAATCTTCTTGTAGTTTAATTTTGATAACATCAAAACACAATTAATGAATTAGCCGAGATTGTTTTACCTTAATATAAATAAAAGAGAGTCAACTACAAATTTGGTTTATGTGCTTTGTCGTACAGTTTTAAAATTACAAGATAACCATCGTGTTTTGCAAAAACGTCCATAATTGTCCCTCCTTTTGACACTCATTAAAAGAATCCGTTAAAATGAGGGCATTTTCATCCTTTTAACAATTTTTTGTCTTTTACCTAATCAAAACCACATGTACCAAAATCATAAAATCGATTTTTATTGCGAAAACCAAACCCAGCAGATAAAAATATCAAAATGGTCATTTCTTCAACCGGTATGATCTTGGGTTTGCTTCGAGGTCCATGAGATCAGTCGAGATGCACACAAACTGATCCGGACACCTAATTTTATTTTAAAAAATATCAATCTCATTTAGAACCTACAACCAGTGCGGTTACCGTAACTTCTCCTACAAGATTAGAACTCATCCAAACCAAAACCGAACCATCTAAAGTAGCTCAATCAAAGGAGGACTGACATTGCGGCTAATGGCTCGATGTTACTAGCCACAACAAACATCAAAAGTTTACCTGTTTGTCCTCCTCGTACTACTCACAGAGTTACACAACTTGGAACAAGTTTGTTTAGCTCGTGCGTCTGTTTCTATCGTACATCTATTCATGACGAAAGGTTAAAACCGTCAATTTAGTTGCTAYTGTATGTCCAACAAGAAACAAGTTCTTTTTGTTAACATGTCTGGCCCAGCTTGCAAGGGTAAAACTGTCGATTCACTGTCGATTCCCCTGGACCAATCCCACGAGACCCTCGAGAAAAAATTGGAAAATCCCATAGTGGCATTGGTAGGACTCGAACTGGTAACCTGTGGAGAAGAACATGTCAAATATAGTTAGATGTGTTCATAAGGTGCATAAAATGGGTTTATTTTTTCCATGAGATACCTGGAAACAACTAAATAAACTAAGCAAACTTGCAGGAATGTTCCATAAATACCCCTGGGCACCAATGGGTCATCGGTAGAGCCCAACCTCCTGTCGGGGATAATTTCCACAAACCGATGCACAAAAGTCCCAAACGAATAATCAAAATATGCAAAGCTTTGAAACCCAACAATCGATACGGAATATATGGATCCCAAATGTGTTCAAATCTACCAACAAGATATAAATACAAAAACCAATATCCAAATCTAACAAATAAATGCAAGAGATTATATGGAGGAAATGGTCGTAGAATCTTCAACGCTAAACCCTCCAAAATGCACCCCCGAGTCTGCTAAAAGATCGCCTTACAGAAAAAGCTATTGCGAGAACCCTAAAACCCTAGCCAAAACAAAGGGTTTAAACCTGCTTGGACACATCCTGCGACTTCATAAAGTTAAATGGACAAGCAATTCAGGGCCCAAATTCTCCTTAGTCCCCACTTCACTTCCTTATGATTATTAAGAACAAACGGGTTAGTTAAATAGCCGACAAAAATAACTACCCCGTTTGTGTTCTTAATGTTGCCACCCTTATTATGAATACACCTTAWGCTTTTTGGCCGAAAAATAGGACCTCCGGCCAAAAAGATAATATATCTCCGTTTCAGTCATTGACTTGATGAAACTTCGAAATTTTGGCATACCCTTATTTCACAAGATAGTGGCATGGTGCAAAAAATGCCATGGCAATTGTAATTTATGAAGACGGTTTAAATAAAGAAAAATTTATGATAAAATGGTGTCCTGCAAGAATCTCCATGGCTGGGAAAAGAAAACATGAAAAGAGAACGAGCCAGTGCATGAAGAGACATGCTTCCGTCTCTCTCTCTCTATATATATATAGGGTTGGTTCAGTGAGAATGGAAGTTATGGTGAGAAGGTGAGAAGGGATCTCCACCCTTGGATTAATCCTAATCGAAGATCAACAGTAAGTAACGCGGTGCACTGAGATCAATTCCCATGATAAGTGCAATTCATGGGTGAGCATAGATTAAAAGTGATCAACGGTCCAAATCCCTTCTTATGCTTCTCATCTTAACTCCTATTCTCACACGATCCTTTGCCTAATGACAATCTTATATTTATAGTAGTTATTCGCATACCTCAATCGTGATCAGAGGCCAATGAACATGAAATCCTGAAATGTTTGAGCAGATGGGCTCAACCGATTCTCTCTCCTTCGACGGCCTAATATGCATTCAAGAACAAAAGTCCAAATCCAATCCTAGCCAAATTCTGCCACCATTTAACCAAAGTAAGACCGACAAAAAGATTTGGCATTCTTGATACTTGTTCATCAACTCGCAGGTATACAAACATAAACCAAACCAAACAAGCCCGGGTTATCATCTCAAATCACCACCTCATGAAAAACATCTACTTTATAGCCACCTCGGAAAAAAAACTCACAAAAAGGGCCAAGATACCACAAGTCAACGCCACAAGGAACTTTTGCTTGCGGTTTCTAACATTTGACACATCGTGTGAAAAAGTTGGCCCACACAAGTTGCAGTATTGTAGTCCCTTGTGTCTACGCACAAAAACAAGCCAAGTCACATGCCTCGAAACCGCAAGAAAAAGTGCTTTGCAGCATTGACTTGCGGTCTCTTGGCTATTTTGCGAGAAAATTTAATCAGGTGGCTATAAAATATATATATATATATCTTCTCCTGATGTGGTTATTTATGATGATAACTCCCAGTTTAACCCACCCGAAGGTGGGATTTTGGGTGATATGTACGCAGACCTGACCTCCACCCCAAAGGTATACAAGACATAACCGTGAAAAAGAGATTCAAAGCCTTACAGTAGTAGCTGAAGATTGGAAAGAAATGAAATCTTGCCTCAAACAATTATGTCACATGTCACCGTGAACGACATTTTGCAGCCTCAAAGCAGCGACAAGAGTTCACCGAGCAATAGTTGGAGCACCGTAAAGTTTCTAAGAAGATTAAAACATTGAAGTGAGAAGAATGAAAACAAGGAGCATATGGGAGGGTTCAATCAGAAATTTATAGTCAATTACAGCCTTGTGCAGAACCAGAGCACCCTAGTAACCATTCATCTGTACAATATTCATATGGGCATACAAGTAATTGAAGTTGTTTCTTGGTTTATATGCGCGTGTGCATGTTATGGCACATGTGCATACCAGACAAATTACTTGTACGCACTAACACACATGTGATGTCATACAGAAGAATGGTTACTAGAGTGTTCCTCAGTTTTTCATTTTCTTTTTGCGGTTTTCCTGAACCTACCCGCATATACACACACACAAAAACCAAATCAAATGCAGCATATCCCACTTGGGTAGTAGGATATATGCAAACCTTACCTCAACTACTAACATGGAGAGGTGGTTTATGTGAAGACCATGGCTTGTTACACAACGCAAATTTGTGTGTAAGCATGTAATAAGACGGGATGTAGAATAACATTAAATGGTGTGCAAGCAGACAATGTAATCAGGTAAAAATTTGTAATACAAGTATATATCAACTTAAACATGTAAGTTACACCAGCATAAAATATCAATCAAGAAAGTTAGGTCCTGTTGAGCCCAACTATCCCACACCACGAGCCTATTTGCCTACTCTCTACCCTCCTCTCGATAGCCTTGTTGTTCCACCCCCGCCTCCGGGGGGGGGGGGGGGGGGGTAAAACATAAAGGATGGATACTAGGGGATGTATGGAGTGTACCTTAAGTGAAACAATGGACAGTGCCACAGGAGAGGAGGGTTAGAAGCAAAAAGACAATGAGTAATAATCTTGACATAAATAGAAATACAAGATTAGGCGAAGGATCGTGTGAAAAGGAGAGTTAAGGTAAGAAGCGTAAGAAGTGATCTAAACCCTTGATCACYTTTAATCTCAAACCCACCCATTAATCATAAGATAAAAACATATAAAGTTAAAAGCATATATATATATACACACACACACAATACAAATGGAAGCATTGAATTATTTTCCATAAATAATAATTGAAATTTAAAGCATCATAAAGACAATTATATATAAACATAAAACCTCCCCTCACATTCAAGTTGTCTAAATTAGTTTCCAAGTTTGATGTATACTTCTACAAGGACAATATAGTAATATAAAATTTTAATTAAGAGCCAGTTCTTAATTACCATTCAGAAATCATGGTTTAATTTTTTTTTACTATTTTTTACTGTAAAAGTGTACTTMAAATTTGGAAACCAAGACAATCCCTTTGTTTCTTTCCTAAAATTTGAATTTTATCATAAAATCCATAATAAATGGACCAACATTTGAWAATAGTTTTCTTTAGCTTTCTAAAATCTTTAACTGTCTACAATATTTTCTCACTAGACGAGTGTACACAAAATGTTGCTCGTTTATGGTGAAATTTAGTATTTTCTTCAAAGTAAAACCTCTTTTAATGCTCGGTATATTAATAAACTCTCCAAGGTCTCATTTGGTTTGCAGGATTGGATGGGATTTGGAATCGAATTCCATTTCAGTCCTTTGGTTGGAAGGATCTCCCGGATTTAAAATCCCRGGTTTTCACTGAAATCCCATTAAATCCCATAAACATAGGATTTTGAAATCCCACAGGGATGGTATTTCACGGAATTTCGTTGGATTTGTATGTAAAAATATTTTAAACATTGTTTTGTGATAATCAAATAATAAAAAGGTAATTYAATTATTTTTATAATTATTTATAAAGAATGGATCTCAATTTCATTCCAAATACTACAAACCAAACACACCAATCCTTCCAAATCCAAATCCCTCCAATTCCTGGTCCTTCCACGAAATCCAAATCCCTCAAAACCATTCCATCAAACCAAAAACSCCCCCTACAACAATAACTTCTYGGTCYSKACATGGGCCRRTTGAAAAAATTACCAAGYWTGATAATATAATRCCCCMTCTGTCCCAAAATAAGTGCCCACATTTCYCTTTTAGGGCTAATGGAATCATAGCTTATTCGGTCAGCYATACATTGTTGTTTGGTGGTRGCTTAATGATATAGAAAGTGACTTATTCAGTAARCTTCTAGGGGGAGCTTTACGCACAAAGTCAAGTTTTTTCCAAACCTGGCTCCCAATTGAAGAATAYRCTCCTRCCATCTATGAAAAAYCCTCCYAAACAAAAACSTTMYCAATCCACACAGATAGTTTTRTCCRTACATGACTTGRTRGAWAACCAACCAAATAGACCCTTAGTTCGTCCCAAAATAAGTGTCCCCTTTCGAAAGTAAACATTTATTTTACCATTCTACCCTTAACTATTAGATGGGAAGAAAACTTATCTCTATTATTAAGGGTAAAATTGTCATTTACTTAATTAAAAAGTGTAACAAGCACATAATTTTAAAATTTTGTGCCATTTTCATTGGGAACATTTATTTTGGGACARAGTGAGTAATATATTTTCAGAAGACCCCTATATAAATTTATGGTCCCTTTAGCATCATAAATTAATAATTCTTTAAGATAACAATTATTACCGAGACAACTAGAGAAAAATAATTCTAGTTTTATTTGTTTTTTCTTAAAATTTGAATCTAGTTGGAGCTCATCTCTAGCTTCTCTTACTACATCTAAAAGTTCATATGTTATGTCCACGAACTCAAAAGTTCCTATGTCATGTTCAACTTCATCAACAACATTATTTTCGAGGATGATATCCATAATTTCTTTTAAGCTTTGGATCTCCGAACGTGTATCATTTTTACACGATAAGTGCTTTCTTTGTCATTTTTTCTTCCTTCATGTTGCTTAGTAGCAAGAGAATGCTCGGTTGGAACGGGTCTATTTTTTCCATTTCCAATTTCTTATCCATGTCTTGTATATCAACCGCAAACCACTCTCTTCAAAATGATAAAATGACGATACCAATGTCTTGGGAGTCATTTATCAACAAAAACAGGTAATGTCGGGTAAGAGCCCGCTCTCACTCACCATGCTWGGTAAGATTCTCAGTCATCAAAATAGCAAAGTATAAGCATCTTCCATCCGATGATAGAGATTTCCACGAACAGGACATTCCACTATACCCCGGACCGCCCAACCCTATATTTTGGTAATGGATTACTTTTTATATATAATTAATAATTTTATACTTTTTTATTTAGAAAAACTATAGAAGTTCAATTGTTGGATTTGACTTGAACTCCCTCTATTGAGTATGAACCGCCTCCCACATATATACTATATGTGATGTCATAAACTACCTCTCAAATCTAAGTGTTGAAATATTTGGTTATTGATGAATTCGGACTTCGGAGGTTGATATGTCCTCGGAGAGAAAATGTTCATACTCTATATTTGGTAAAAGTATTTTTTATTAAGCTATGTACAATGTTATGTTTTCACATCTTACTTGATGTTGGAAAAACATTATGTATTTTAAATGATTTTATACAAGTTTTGTCCTTTTTCCGTCCCGTTAGACGATGGGTCCTTTATAAGTCGAACAAGGGCAAGTTATCAAGCCTGCGAAAACGAGCTTGGGTTTGCTATATTAGGCCCGTTGGACTAAAAATAGATTAGGCCCTTCTGTACCCAACTCAAAACCGCAAAATGATCATCTCTACCTGGTAAGCGCTAACCCGGTAAGATTCTTAGTCTCTAAGATTGTTGCTAAAGACATCATCTTTGACCGGTAAGCGTCTCTTACCTTCTAAGAGGCAACAAGTGTTTAATTACCGATAAGTGTTTAGTAAACAACCGCTTAGCTTGAGTATCTCAAGCCAACTTTGAGAAAAGTTGTGCGCATATTCTTGCCTTCTCCAAAACTAGCTCTCTAGTTATATTCACACGGTTGGTACTAAAGAAACCACTCATAAACAACCTTCTCCTCCATGTATAGTTTGTGGCGCTTAATATATTTCCATTCTCTAGGTTAGTCGAAAGATACTCAGGTTATCGAGTCTGTTTGATATTGTACCTCGACTTAACTATCAATGTTATATTTCATCAAGCCACAACTCCAAAATCTTTTTTGATGCATGTAGAGGGCCAACTACGGCCACCAAACATGTCACCAATTCAGTCTTCTATCGTTCTTCCAAATGGCATGAGTGTGGAAGGTCAACCATGGCCTACATTGCGAATTTTGAGCGAAACGCCATTGTTGTAGCGGTAAAACCAATAATTTGAGTTGTTTAGATGACTTTATATGTTATTAACTATGCTAATGGTAGTGCTATCTAGTACTATAGTGTTAAAAAGATTGTGAAAAAGAGAAAAACA